GAACATCCTCAATCACTCGAAGTGGTCACAGTGCCTCCACAGAATGGCAAGAGCAGATCATGTGGCGACCAGGCCATGTGAGGAGGAACTCAGCAGGCAGTGAGCGTTCAATGTAAGGCCGCGAGTATGGGTCTGGGTTGATAGGTATGTCTTTCACCTTCACTTCACGAATTCGAAGACATAAGCAGCATGCTTCAACTATCACCATCACCACTCATGAGACTGGAAGCATGAGAAAACTTTTCGCGTGGGAAGTTTCTCTTGCTCAACCTCATCGTCACACACAATCTCTGCGGATATTGTACAGCATACTAATAACTACTTCCAGGGATCGCTCGCGAATTCCTTCAACATGACCAACCAGGGCAGCTACAAGCGCCCAGCCAACGACAAGATCAACTACCATCCCACCCCCGGGGAGGTCGTCACCAAGTTCAGAGCATACGCCGGCTACGTCAACCTACCAGTTGGCGGCCACAAGACCCTCGGGATCTGTCCTTCGGCCCAGGATGACACCCCCCTGGAGCCTACGGAGGACGATCCCTACCACGTTCCTGCCTACTTCGACCTGGGCGAGGCGCCTGCATCTACACCTGAAGAGGTCAAACTCGAGTTCAACCCTCCGCTTGTGCACTACGCGGAGCTGAGGGGTGGCCTCCCAATCGGCTATGTCTGGATCCCACCGAGTTCGCCCGAGCCGATGCTGCGCGAAGTCACTCCCGAGCAGGATGTCGCTTTCACTACTCCGTTGCGGCCGGCGAGGAGCATGGGTACTAGCCAAAAGCGCAAGAAGACTGTCACTTTTGATCTTAGTCCCGGGAAGAAGTGCAAGCGAGATACCACTGCTGAGTATCAGGCTCGCTTCACTAGCCCGCTGTCGGAGGATCTGTCAGATGCGCCTGATGGTCTGCTGACGCCTGAGCCGAGGAAGCTTGTGCTACGCCGTCGCTAGTGGATGGTAGAGGGGAGTTGGGCGGATCATGGTAGACGTGGTTGAGCAGTAGACCGAGAAGAGGAGAGATTACTACGTTTGGGGTTTGGTTGGTACCAGGGCTATAGCTGCTTCTTCCCATTTACCTTCAATGCCATGCCCTTTTGTCTCTTCACACCCGCGAATCCTTCCAAGATGCTGACCCACAGCTGAACCAACATGATGACGATCCTCACAGCCTGATCCTTCCACTCCAGAACTGGTTTCCTTCCCCTCATGAATTTGGCATCTATTACTTCCCATCCGGCATCGCCACCCAAAGCTTCTCCTACCTGCAATCCATTCCGGCATCCGTCTTCGTGGAAACCGTATCCTGTCCATGCGCCTGCGTACCAAATACCTTGCTTTCCTTGGATCTCGTGGAGACGGTCTTGCGCAAATACCATGCGCGAGTTGTAAAGCGGATGTCGGTATTGGTATGTTGCCTGGGTGAGGGCAGGAGAGGGAGGATGTGGTGGGTTGAGAGTAACGAGGACATTCTTGTAGACGTCACGCGGGATGTGCTGCAAAGTGTTCATGTCGTAGGTCAGGCAGACGGTCTGGAGGGCGCCAGAAGAAGTTGTCAAGTTTGCGGATGATGGTGTTGTCTGCTTGGAGGTGGTGAGGTAGTTCCAGGCAGACCATGCTGTGCGTCGTTGAGGCATGAGCTGGGTGTTGTTAGCAATAATTGAGTATATTTAAAGCATCCAAGACTCACCGAAAGATCAGAATGCAGGTATGCTGTGTTTGGTGTGGTTTCGAATGCGTCCAGGATGTCCTTTTCCGTCGCTGTCGCCTCGTCACCCAACATCCATCTCGCCTGGTCTCCATGACAAGCAAGCACTACTTCGTCAAAAGCCTCTGTCTGACCTTCTCCCCTTCCACCCAGCCTTAATTCGACTTTATCACCTTTCCTTGTTGCCGCCAGAACCGGCGTTCCAAGATGGCCTTCGCAATTGCCAGCTAGGTCCAGGACCGCATCTATGTATTTGCTAGATCCTCCTTCAACAGTCAACCAAGGTGGTCTCTCTGCTATGGTACTAAGTAGGTGGTGGTTCCACATGAACCGTACCAAAGTCAATGCCGGGAACTCCAAAGCGCATTTATCCGCGCCCGTACTCCATACGCACGCTGTCATTGGGATGAGGTAGTCATCTCTGAATGCATCTGAATACCCTTCTCTTTCGAGATACTCGCCGATGCTCATTTCCGTAGCGGCGACAACTGCGGGTGAACCTGGTGGGATGGCTAGAAGATCCAGAGCAAATTGATTGAAGCGGATGATGTCGAATATCATGCGCCAGAAGGAGAGCTTAAGCGCATTGGAAGGTTGCGCGAAGAGTGAGCTGCCTGACGTGCCCGACCATTCAAAAGCACCAGCATCGCGAGATATGCCAAACGTCATCTCCGAGGCGACGGTCTTGACACGCAACGCTGAGAGAAGTTTGATGAAGTTTGCTGGACGCTCGTTAGACTTATGACCATGTAAGCATGTTATTTTGGTAGGGAACGAACGGTATGTAGCGGTGTTGAGGACGATGAAGCCCGTATCAACAGGCGTGCTCTTGCCATTGTGTGTCCACGGCACAGTGTTTGTATGACCACCAAGACGTTCCTCTTTCTCGAACAGATGTACTTCATGCTGAGTGTTGCGAAGTGCGTAGAGGGCGCTCAGACCAGATATGCCACTGCCAACGATGGCGATGCGCTTCTTCTCCATCTTCCCGGACATGATCAACTAGCGCGTAATTATGGCGAGGATACTAACAGCCAGGTACACGGTTGGAGTTGACGCACCAGAGTGACGAAAGAAATTGAGCAAAGGAAAGCTGCTGCTGCAAAGATGCGAGTCATGATGTCATCGATTTGAAGCGAATGCCGTTTCAGTCGGCGCATGACTAGTGTCGAGGGAAAGTACGCACGCTCGGAATGTAGGCATTGTAGGTATTGTGAAATCTCAGCTGTGTGTTCTGAACGCAGGAAGAGGTCCGCGGCATTATACAGTCACTTGGCCATGCGTTCGAGACCCGCTCTCTTGTGGACACGGCAGACTAGGGCCCATGGCATTATCAGCATTATTGTGGAGCTGACTTTGCATCTTCGCATTGCTACCATGTGGAATACATGAGACAGTCAGGAACTATACGACACGGCTGATATGCAGGTGGCTCTCAAGGGGCCACAGCAACACCTACGTAATCACAACTTGGGCATCGACGACGCTCGTGTTGGGTAATGCGTTTTGCTAGCAAGCTGCGACAGGAGGTACCTTCATCGTATCAAGCAGGAGTGATGATATGAACGCAGTAAAGGATGTTAGGTGGCCTTGCCGCTTAAAGGTTCCCCAGATCCAGAAGCGTAGTGGCACACGTGACACGGCAGGGATGACCTTGGCAAGTGCGTAATGCGCCTCATGAGCTCCGGACTCCAGGCTCGACGCTGCATTCACAAACACATCCAACCCAGGCCGCCATTCACACTCCAAGGACGATAGCCCCCCATAAACACCGAAGCCTACACTGCGCAATCCAGACTTGACCGCCGCCATGTCCAACCTGATCGACGCCGATGCAGGCACCGAGCGCTTCAGCGGCTACGAAGCCGAGTTGAAGCTGGTGCAGGCCGACCTGAGCCAGCAAATAGAGCAGATCAAAGAGACCAGTGGAGAGCCCCGGAAAGCCGCGATTAGCAGAGCAGAGCGCGCGCTGGAAGAAGCCGAAGAGCTGGTGAGTCGCCGCCTAAACACACCTGTTGCACATGCGACGGGCACCACCACCACCACCACAACACCAACACAATGTACAAGACCGCGCTGCTAACCCGCTCACCTCCCAGATCGGCCAAATGCGCCTCGAAAAGTCCAACATCCCCGCCAACCTCAAATCGAAATACAACGCGCGCTTCCGCAACTTCGAACACGACCTCGACACGCACAAGCGCAAGCTAGAAACCTACACGACGGACAAGGCCAAGCTCTTCGGCGACCGCTACACCGACAACCCCGAAGGTGGCGATGCGCAGCTCGAGCAGCGCCAGCAACTCCTCTCCGGAACCGATCGCCTCAACAGGTCGAGTGGCCGGCTGAGGGAGAGCCAACGCATCGCGCTCGAGACGGAGCAGATTGGCGCGGGCACACTGAGCGATCTTCATAGGCAGAGGGAGCAGATTACGAATACGAGGGAGAGGCTGTTGGAGAGTGAGAGTTATACTGATCGGAGTATTAAGACGTTGAGGGGGATGGCGAGACGGTATGTTTTTCCCGCATCTTCTTTCGCATCTATCATGCAAGCTCCGGTTGATGTGGAGTCTAGATGGATGCCTTTTTGATTCTTGCAAGAGGGAGTGCTAACGAGGTTTTATGCAGGATGGCTACGAACCGCATCATTACGATTGCTATCATCACCGTCTTGGTGCTGCTCATCATTGCTGTCATTTACAGCAAGTTCAGATGATTGCTTCCACGTGCGAGACGCGTTTCTGTTTGGCGTTTTGGAGCATAGTATATTGTACAGATGGGTATTGTTGGTTTGAGGTTTAGATATCGAATGGCATCCACAACTGTCGTTTCAGGAAGCAGCATTCTGCTACATCTACAAGCCATATTCTCTCATAATCGACGCATGTGCATTTGACGTGTTTGTGTATTATAGGATCTAACAATCCATATTGGTTCTACTGCCTGGGTATTACATTATTATCTAACCTTTTTCGCTTCAGTGCTCCCTCATCCTAATCGTGGTTGTATGCAGAGTAGAACGTAGGTAAATCCAGACACCAGTGATTAGATATTACATATTTTGAGCGTAAAAGAGAGAACGTATGATAGGAATAGCTCTAGAGAAGGAATGGCTGATGCGAAAATGCAAGACGACAAGTCTAAAGCGAGCATGAGCTGAAAGATGCGATGCGTCAAACGCACGCGTGGAAAGTAGACAAACGTGTCGTTTCAAGGTTTCGTCCAGCGTGGTGTAGCAAGGGTGAATTAAGTAAGGGGCCCGGATCCTTTGTAGGCGCGGTATTGACGGGGCTATTACCCGCGCCCGAGGCGGACATCGAGTCTGTCCAATGACATGGTCTCAGCACGTGTGCGGCCATCGTGGTTGTCATCGGTGATGTGGTGGTGTAACGAGTGTGGCGGTGACATGTCGTCATAGTCAAGAGCGACTTTGATGCTGCCGGCGTTGAGACCGTTGCATTGGCCGGGCTGGAGTAAGCCTGCTTCGGGTCGTAAGAGCGACATGAGTCGTATCTTCATCGTAGCATTAGCTAATGAAAGGACATGTCCTGTGGCTTCATGTTTGGGTAACGAGCGTGTTGTTTAGGTGTGATGAATCGTAGGTTGTTTTGGCAGGCGAAGGGATCATCTAGAGTCGGGTTCAGTCTGCGGATCCAACAGGGAAAGGCGTGAGAGGTAGCTGTTTATCTTGTCCCGGCACAGGCGTCCGTGGTGGTAGTGGCGATGGCGTCCGCTGACTGCTTGATTGCCGGGCATTGGGGCCCAGTGCCAACGGTGAAACGGTTCGTAGAGGGGCGGGGAAGGGTGGGCTAAAGGGTGTGACGGGCGACATGCGGAGAGGATCAATGCTCCCTTGGAAACGGGTAGCAGACCGCCCTCGTGGTGTGCTCTGTGTGCTTCGTCCAGAACTGGTGCTTGCGTTGCGGGAGTGGTTGTTGTAGCTGTGCATGCGGATTGTGGTCGGGCGGCTGTTCGTAATGGAGAAACGACCGCTTGCGGTCCGAGAGAGCGTTGCTGGGAGTGGCTGAAGGGGCATGATGTCGCTTTGAACTGAATCTGCCCGCGGTGGAGTGTATGTCTCAAGTTTCATGGCCTGTGAGGTGTTTGGCCGCGACGATGACCGTGTGCTGGGTCTCGTCAATGTGGTGGCAGTACTGGGCCGAATGATAGTATCCCTGGCCGTGTTCGGTGCTGTTCTCGTAGTGGCGGTAGGAGGACGAGTCATGGTCGTTCGTGCTGTGTTGGGTCTGGTCCTCGTAGCTGCGGTACCAGGCCGGACGCTCGCTCGTGGGCCAGCTCCAGGCTTTTGGCGCTCGATATCGAAGGCTCGCTGATCCGTGTATTGTGCCGCTGTCGAAAAGTAATGCGGTGCTATCAGAGCGAAGAGCGGTCGCATAGCTGGTAGACACGCACAAATGATTCCGACATTCACCTCCACCGCAGATAGTGTCGCGTGATCTTTGTTGTCGAACGAGACGTCGGTCGAGTTGGCGATGTCGTCCAAGGTATACAGTCGGATGATGGAGACCATGGTACCGCTGTTGGTCCGTTAGCATTGGTGATACCCGAAACTGCCTGAGCTGGCTTACCTAGCGCCCAGCACGAACATGCCCACTAAGCCTTCTTTTTGTGATTTGGGTATTTGAAGGGCCCGGACGATGGACAATGGCATGAGAAAGATCACTACGTCTTGCGCAATGTTGACACCAGCATTTGTAACCCATATGACAAGTTGGTTCATGCAGCGTCCATTTCCGATAGACTTGTCCCATGCAAAAGCGACGGGACTGCAGATAAAGACGCTCGAGAAGGTCGACCAGCCGCCGTAGGCTACGACAACACCCAAGACAGCGAAGCACGCTATGCGGAAGTTTCTTACAGGAAAGATACGGAGATACTGTACAAGAATGGATATCTTTGTCACAGTGAGTGTGAGGTTGTAGACCCAGACGCTCGCCCAGAATGACTGTGTGATTGTTAGTCGCAATACAGATAAGCGATGAAAGGTAGAAGCCCCTCGGTGCATATAGGTGACGCATCTGCATCACTCAATGTCGTGACGACCGTAAGACGTGCTGCAGTCAGGCACCTCATCAGGCACCTCATAACACATGAGCCGGGATATCCAAGTATACCGTCGGAGAATGATGATTTTTCTGCACTTACAATTTCCAGTCTATCTAGCTTGTCGTCTTCAATTCGCGCACCGTGCTCTCCAAGGCCATTCATCACTTGCTCCGCCGTCAGCACAGCAAGTGCGATGGAAAGAACCTATGAGTCGTCAGCAAAAGATGCACGCTGCGCAACCAGCTTCACTTACCATAGCAAAAACGATGCATGCATCTTCAGGTCCAGCTCCCCTGGATATTACCAGTCGCGTAAAAAGTCGTAGAAACACCACCAAGCCAGAAACAAGTGTGAAAGCAAGTACAATGATATTAACCCGGGTGCCAGCGGGCGTGATGCTACTCGTATCCATATTGACAGTGTTATTAGAAAGACGAGTGCGTAGAACAGGAAATCTGAGGGACTCGGAGTAGTAGACCTGCGAAAATGCGCATGGTTCAAGCACTCATAATGGCTGATCCGGAGAAGGTGGTGATTGGGATATTCAAAAGCGGATCGGGATAGGAGATGCGGTGCGAGGTCGGTACCGCAGCACGAAGTCGAACAACAGCCAATGCTAGAAAGATGGCTCGGTGTATTTCAAGAAGGAAAAGCGCTCATTGGTAAGGAAAGTCGGACGACAATGACCCCCGGGACTTGAGTGAGACGCAGGTTCGCGACGTTCATGCTGCATTTGGAAGCGCGAAGGGGACCAATATCGACAAGACTCTCCACACCATGGGCACGTTCCTGCAAAAACGACCGTCTCATACGTACGATAGTCACGGTCCGCAGATCGCTTGGTGCACTGACCTAATGCTGCCTTGTGGCGACTGGCGAGGCTCCAGGTTTGGTAGCAAAAAGGCAGAAATAGTCGAGGAAGGGGGTATAATGTCGCAACTATACCCTTAGGGCCAACTCGTGGCAGCCACGGTTAACAAGTCGCCGTGTTAGGTTAGCTTTAAGGTTGCATGGCTGAGGCCATGGCGCAGCGGAACTGTTGATGTCGCATGTCAATAACTAGATGCCGCTTTGACAGTTCTGTTTTGTTTGGAAAGGCTGTCTGTACACTGTCGAACCGCTGTGACAATGTCATGTGGCGTGTGGTGGATGAGTCTGTCGCGCGCGAACATTGCGTGAGGGGCTGTGGTTGGCCCACCAAGCCCGCGTACCTGCATGTTGTGTGCTCGAAGTGTAGCAGCTCGGATGGTATGGCGCAAGACTAATGACCCTGCTGCAGATCTAGCCGAACGCAGACCGTGCACCGAAACCTTGGGGACTATCTTACGGGTCTGAAACGGACCTAAGACCAGCGGCGCGCTCTCCACCATATAACGTTTTCTCCAGGCAATTGGCGGCTTTCTCACACAATCTTGGTAGATTTGATGACAACAGAGTTGATCGATAGGAGGCTAACCTTATTTTGGCACACCGATGAGGCCCGCACCATGCCGCTAACGGCCGAATTCGAGATCTCGTCCTGCTCTTCGACTAGGGAGCGACCGCGGCTGATCCCCGGTTGCTCGATTTCACGTCCGAGTCACACGTGGTGTAGGGTTCGGTACATGCCGGCCTCAGACGCAGGTTGGGTCGGATTGCGCACTCTGTTCGTTTACAACCTTCTCTGCATCTTGTGACAATAGCGTGTCGGTTCTGACGCTTATGACTCAGAATACGTTGAGCGAGAAGAATGCCAATATTGATGTGACCAGACTTGTAAGCGAATGCAGAGCCAGATCTCCTTGTGATGAAGCAACCTACGAAGCTCCAGCCTCGTCTATAGCCACGGTCGGCCTTAAAGTTTGTGCGCTATCTCTCTGCAGGCGGTCGGACGGCTGGAATGGTGCCAATGAAGTTTCCTTAGGACAGCGTTGCCGAGGGTTTAGACCAGTCATGCAATTATCGACAGTTGTCACATTGAAAAGCGCCGCTGGTCTTGTTGTTTCGAGGATGACCGTTATTGGTTTGATCTGCCGGAGTCGCCTTTTCCCTTAGTCCTGTCAAACGCTGTCTTTGGAATCAGCGACAAATTCATCCATGTCGAAATCGTCTGCATAGATTTCATGCATGACCGAAAGGGAGCTGTCGCAGGAGCCAAGAAGAATTTTTGCCTGAGAACGAAAGCAACGTTGACGCGCCTCATGCGACTTGGTGGAAAGCATAGTGACTTGAATGGGGACAATGTTGTCGGCGATCCAACGCGCACGGCATGGATCTACCAAGTAGATCCAAGGGGAGCTCGGTGCTTTACGCGGGGGTCCAGGGGACATGGTGGAGAGCCGTCTGGGAGATCGTCATGTGGTAGCATCGGTGGACGCGACGCGTGATTTATACTTTTCGGCACCAAGCGCGAAGCGAAAGCAAAGCCGATCACATACCGACAGTAGGCACCCGTGGACTGCATCGTCCTAGACAACGCTGATCTACGCTCTTCATCGCCTTCATCGTATAGACCGTCTGGGTACGAGAAAACACTCTGTGAGGTGTGACGCGTGTCGCACAGCCGTAATAATATGCAGCAGGAAGCTCGCGAATGGAAAGCGACCAACCGCCTCATAGGCGACGAGCTGCGAGCGCTTGCGACGTACGGAAAGCGGTGACACATGGCGGGGGGAAGGAGCGTCGGACTTGATGACTTGTGGTGTTGAAGATGGAGCTGCATTTGCGATGGGTAAGAGTGCGCTGCAGCTGAGGTTGCAGAAGGCGCGCGAGTCGGTCGTAATGCTAGCAGGGAGATGACGGCGACATGCTGAGGTAGAGCAGGCTGATGGACACATAGCAGAGGGCGTCGCAGCAGTCATGATTAAGGCGCTGACAAACTCTTCTTCGATTGAGCGGCAAGCCGCAAAGATCAACGAAAAGCAGCGCAAAGCTAGCAATGGGTGTCAAAAATTCCCAGCCGATCCGAAGACCAACTGGAGCGGTCATAGTTGTAGTTTTCAACTAGCAAAAACGCTACCTCGGACGAATCCTCACTGGTAAGCGTAAAGCCCGAGCACTTGGATGCAGAAGAGAAAGGAGGACGAGGGGCCGGGAGATTATATACTGGCAGCCAGCGCGCTAGCACCTTGGCGCGCTAGGGTCATGTGACTGCGCACGTCCGCGCAGCAGCGGGCGAACTCCGGCAGAGGGTCTCTCACCCAATGGCACGAGCAGGCGCAACTAGGCAGCAGGTCACGATTTTCACTCTGCACAGTGTCTGCTTCATGCTCTCCTGCGGACGAGACCAACAGCAATAAATTCACGGTCGAGCTTTGATAACCCTACCTGCATCCGCTTGCAAGTCCACAATTACTCACTGCCGTAGCTGCCGCATGCCGCATGCCGTGCGATCCTCTGGGTGGGCCGACGCACCATACCCACCACGCTTGCAAGACTTTTTGTCCTGCCAAACTTGGGCATTAGGAGTGCAAGAGTAGCGTCACGAACACGGCGATACGTGCGCTCTGTTTTGGGCAGCAATCACTGCGTCGGCACAATTGGAACAGCTTCTGTGCGTACGAGGCGCTGTGCAAAGACAGTGCCGCGATCGGCAATGCGAGACTGAGGCACAAACATTCACCTGTCTAATTCTTCTACCAGAATAATCGTCGCGCACATCATATGCTGGCTTTTCGCGTTGCAATTGAAGATACTCCGAAGAACGGAGTTCGAGCTGGAACAGCTGTCCAGGACTTGTGCGACGCGCTTCCTCCCTATCACCACTATGCTTCCACGGGCGAATGCGCCGCCCCTGCGTCTTTAGCTGTCTTTCGAATTACTCGCATCCATGGCGATACTATGTATCTGGTAGCAAATACGTCACTAGCAAGCAATTAAGGACTGAATGAGGCTCTAAGAGGAGTTCCGCCCTTGTGTGGTCATGCGCGTCCGAGTCAGAGTATCACCAAAGGATTCGTGATTGCATCGGAAACGCTCTCCGCGTAACTGCCGGCTGCAGTATCAACCAATGTAGGACAAGCTCGTACGTTGCGAGGCTTTGTTGTACCCTCCGCGGTGACCAACACTCGCCAACGCCAGGGTGAGGGCGGACCCTTTCTCCCTCTTCGCTTCGGAGCCAAATGCCGCCCATGTTCGAATCGAAGCTTCGCTTAGGGAGATACATGAGTATTTCAATGTAGGATTCAATACCTGTATGTGCTTACTTATTATCTATCTCGTCCTGTCTGCGCCTGCCTCCTGCGTCCGTGTTTACTTCGCATCACGCCGGATCCGCTATCGCTGCAAACGATGCACCAGCTCATCGACGGATCTCATGATCAATCCTCGTCTGTACACGACTTCATCTTCTCCGCATCCGCCAGCACTCCTTGCTGCTTCAAGGTATGGCTAGACCGCAGGAGACATCATCTCACCTCATCATGAGGTGACTATCGTCGAACATGGAAGCCTCAGGATGGAAAGAGGTACCCTGAGCACCTGAACTACCGTACCCAGCCTGAACATAAGGTCCAGGTATCGACCCTGATGCTTGACCCATAGTGTCGGATTGCGCCGATGAATTCGGCGACGGGCCTGCACGACTGTTGGAGGTCGACGATCGCACCACCGAAGGCTCCTTCCGCTTCCATAAATCCGATATATCGACGTCGTATCGTCTCGCCAGATCCTCAAAGCAGCCGATAGCCACACGGTGCGCGCGCTCTGCCACGGGTCCCTTCATCATCTGCAGCCAGCGGATCGCCTTTCTTGTACAATGGATCATCATTTTAGGCTCACAAGACGTCGATGCTGGGTATGAGAGACCGAGAAGACAGACAGAGATGGCTTGCATCATGTGATGCACGAGACACCACCAGGGACACTGCTCATACATCTGAGGGTTGTATTCCTCTGGAAGAGAAGCGACGATTGTTCTGGCAGCTTCGATACAGCTGTCCGCCATGCGCCTCGAGAAATTTGCGTCGCCCGCATCCTTCCATGGCTGTCGCCGTGCAGTCAAGCACGGCCGTGTGAGCAAGATCCGCGCGGTGCAAAGCTGGAATCGGAGAAGCACGCGTTCCCGGGCGAACACGTCATGCGGTTCACGCAATCCTTCATGCGATCTAAACTCTGGTGGTAATGAGGAACTCCACTGATCGAGACGCTGGCTCAGAAGATGGGTATCCTGTTGGATCTCACTTGGCGACCGGATCATCGTACCCGCGGAATAAAGAGACGTGAGAATGTTTTGGGATATAATGGACAGCTGAACGACAGCTCTGAAGTAAGAGCCTGAGTTGACATCTGTTGCCCGAGACCCTATCGCCATGTGAGGAGGGTTCGCGGCGATATTTGAAGAGGCGGAAAATGTGGGCGAGTCTGATAGTGATGCAATCACCGTACGCATGCCATGTGTTGTCTCCGCTTCTCCTAGGGGTTCCTCTCCTGGATTCGTCATAGGCAATGGCACCGAACAGCACGAGTCCACAATGATGCTGGGCCGGCCAGTAATGATACTGAGAATTCTCTCAAGTGAGTACAAACTCCACCAAGTTTGCACCAACGTCTCACGTTTTGATGCGTTTGCAGAGGGGTCCTCGTTCCGTACATGGAGACCGAGAGAGTAGGCTGATCGCAAAGCCACACCGACAAGCGTCCATGCCCTGGACTGATTAGCAAGACGGCACTAACTCTCCATCCGGATTGCGACTTACCGACTGACTTGTCCAACACTTAGCCAATAAAACGCAAGAAGCCCCAAGCCTTGGATTTGCGGTACATCGGAATGTGTGGTCAGGGAGGCTTCATTCAACCCAAAAGCCCTCGCTCTTGCGTGGAACAGGTTCGCATCGCCCTCCGGCCAGTCCTTGTTGTAAAGATACGAATAGTTGGCGCCGATAGCGAAAACAAGATTCAGGATCGCCTGCCACTTGGGATTTAGACGCGGTGCCTTTCCCTCACGTAGCGCCGCAAAGTATACGCGAGTTTGTTTGACGAAGTTGCGTGGTAGAATCGGGAAAGAGTCGTGCACTCTGAGCATGTAGCATTGCACCAGATGCTCGGCGAAATCGGGTCGCGGCAGCTCATACGGATCCACGTAAAAGTTGACACTCACGTCATCGCAGTCGGCCCAGAAGCTGAATGAGCTTACTTGCTCGTTGCTGAGAACGTTCGAAGGACGGCGTTGGGACCTGGATCCGGACCATTCTCCGTCTGGTCTTTCTTGTTGAGCAAGAGCTACTGTACGCAACCACTGTACTTCTGAGCTCTTGCCAACGAATCCTGTTGACCGGGCTCCGTCGCTACTGTGTAAGTCTTCGTCCAGCAGATCCAATGCCTCAGTGTCAAGATGCTCGAAGTGCTCGAAACCGCTCGCCTCTCCGCTGCCTTGTGAACCATGACTGTCGACGTCTGGTTGCGAGGGGATTGGGGTCGGAGTACGCCTCTGTTCTGACAGGTCTTCATCCATCTAGCCCATGTCAGCTTTCTAGTCTTTCCCTTTCGCGTCTTGTGCATAAGATCTATCAGGACCCAACTCACATCTTCCAGAATGTCGGCAATCCTTTCCCCATCCTCGGTGCTTACCCGGTCCCTTAACTGCGTTAGGAAGTCGGTTAATTGGTGGCATTGTTCAGTGACGCTGGGAATGTCAGCAATGCAAACATAATTTCCAGGGGAGACTGGACAGACATTTTCAATCGATCTTTCCGGGGCAAAATGTAGACGCATTCGCGATTCGTGGTCGCACAATGCTTGCACCTTGGCTTCTCGCCCGTGCATTTGATCTTGTGGGAGCGACACTAAAAATGCCGCTGTCAGAAGCCGTACCAAATTCAAAAAACACTGGCCTATCGGAAAGCCCATCGGCTGAGACTCCTGGTTAAACCAGGAGTTGTGTAAAATCGAGCACCCGTCATCGGCACAAAAATCTCGTACGCGATTCAGACTTACACCAGTACAGGCCCGTGGGACTCGACGCCTGTCCTTCAGTCCACTTTGTCTTTGCTCGACTCTCTGCAGCCGTGGAATCGCAACTTTCTGTTGCCCGAACAAAGGGGAGCCATAGTTTCCTTGGTAATGATGCTCCGGGATGTTCGATGCCATGATCCAGGGCAGTTTACCATGGATCGACGTGGGATGTTGTTCGAAAGACCGAACGTAATTCCAAAACAGAAGAAGACGACGCGGCAAGGGAGCGAGTAATGTGAGAACCCCAGACTACGGCGGCTACCCGAGATCACCTTCGACCGCATTGAGGCTTCAGGTGAGCGTCTACTGCCAATCCGGATATGGACATGCAGCCTTACCCACTTGATCTCACATGTACCCTGAATTGTACGCATACACGCTTACAGCTGGATGTCTGTTGAGCTAAGGTTTGCGGTTCTTCTCAGTCCCTCGGAAATCCCGTCGGGATGCTTCACCGTGGCCAATAAGCGCCTGGCTTCTCCCCAGCCCTGGCCCTCCGATCCCAATCATCAGAATTATTGTGGGTTGATGTCACTCTTTCCCTGTTATTGGTGTCCTATAGAACATCATCCAACGGTGATTTCCTCTATTTCAACTTCATGAAAGCTTTGCCACCCACAAATTCCAGTCGCCAACCGATTTCCCAGCGACAAGCTGCGCGGCTGCGTGTCAACCAGGATACCCATTCAGGACTTTGGCTTCCCAGGGCGTTGTGGTCGGACCACTTCGCATGCGGCCACCAACTTCTACAGTACCGCTTTTGCCATAGACTAGGATTCTATGTGTTTACGGGAAAGTCGATCGACATGCAGAACTTAATGCCAAATCTTACATGTGGACTATTTGGCATTGCGTATACGATCCAGGCGGAAAATACAATTCCGATATCCCTCATAGGATAAGAGTAGTAGCTGGACCACGTAATGCTTGCTCAGCAATTGTGGGAGCATGCAAATCATACTCTCGTGGGTCCTAGCTGCCAGCCTCCAACCCTGCAACACAACCAGACGTGTCAGTGGTGTTGCGGGGCAGCTGACTCGTTCGACAGAGTCGAATGGCACTACTATTCTTACTTTGAGCCTGGAACGTACGCCAGCTTGAAGTTGAAGGACGAGTCGGCTTTGCGGCACAGTAATACCGGATAACGAGAAAGTATGTACTTGTCACTTACATATGCCGACCGTTGATCGTCAAGTTCAGGTATGTCGCTCTTTACTCGAATTGACTAGTTACCCTAGCTAGCGCAACGAGAGTCAATCTAAAGAAGCACACCCTCTGCCCCGTTGTCATATCTGAGGAACTCGTAACGAGGAAACACCCGCGCATGCTAACACTAGGACGAATTTATCGACGTGGGGCTTTCGATCGCTGAGCCTTGTCGAGCATGGATCTTGTACAGAATTGGTGTCGTGTCACCTGCGCGGCGAAACAAGAACGTTATTCAATTGACTCAAGACCTGCATCTTGAGTATGAAACCTTATGAAATGGCAAGTTGATGCATGACGTTAGGCAGGCTACATTTCGGTGGCGTCCGCAGAACCGCCAACCAATAGTAAATTCGCCACGATCAGCCCTGCACGTGGGGTCCGTCTCTACGTGCGTACGCGCCCGCTGCAGGCACGTCGCAACGAGTAAAAAAGAATTCATGCTTTGATCTGGAAAATTTGTCAAAGGATCGCATCAACGCGATAGTCTCGTACGCTGTGTCGCTACGTCAGCCAAAAAATTTCCGACATGTCAATGTGTTTCACGCTCCGCGGACAGGCATGGCACGTAGTTTTTAGTACTCCGCGCCGATCTAAACAGACGCCCCCCAATTAGTAGACGCCCAATCTTACGACTTGTGCATATCGCTTAATTCTGTACGGTAGATACGGTTTAACTCAGTTAGCAGATTCGCGCCGTCCCACAGAAGTACGATAAGACCACAATCCTGCATCACAGGATCTTGTTCAGGATCTCGCTCTAGTCGACCTCGATCAGATCCCGAGATGCAGAACTTGATGTTGCGGTCCAGTTGTGGCTAGCCTTTCGGCAACCGGCTTTGTAAGGTTTCGGATGACAACATCTGCGCGCTCACACTTGTCCGGACGCACATCCGCCGTTCCTCCCGCGCGGTAACTAACACATACATGTCTTTCTGACACTTCCTCATGCGACCGTTTACGTCCAAGAACGTGTGCTTCCAATTCGATCACTGCGCAATACACGATCCGCTGCTTCCTACACGCAACCATCTCGCATCTGCCGGATTTTGCAACTCTCAATTATTCTGCCGTCGAGAGCATGGTGGAAACGGAAACTATAAAGACAAGTCAAGAAATCAACATACGAGCCTAGAGACGAGTCAAGATAAGCTGTGGACACCATAGTCCTCGGATCCTCCCCATTTCGAAGTAGCTGGAAGACAATCGAGGCCACCATCCCCGCACATTCCTCAACAGAGCACTTGCGACTCAGTATTTACCACCGTTTTTAGCCGTACCTGGCAACGTTTATGGGGCCAACTGCTCTCATTCGGTGGACTCATCGCATTCGCGTCTGGTGCTTATAGAAGCGATAGCGAATCCTGGTTGAGATGCAGCCACCGCATTGTATTAGTCTGTATCCAGGCTGCCACCGACACTAGTACGCAGCTCTTCTACGCTCATCACGGTAGATGCAGAAAAGCAAAGCCTCCGCAGCAGGATTCTCATGCTACGATCTTGACGAAAACAGGAAGTATTCACTAAATCCGGCATCGCGCATGGCGATTCACTTCCGCCAGTCAAAGGACCTAGCATGATACGGTAGCAGCCGCGATCGCTACCCACGTGCAGAACCACCAGAACTCTCAAGGACCCCACTGCACGTTCTTCAGCTTAAGCTTCATCCCATTCCTCGGCTTACTAGCGATCGCACCACCTACGACAACCTTCTCTTTAGGGTTTTCCATTTCCAACTCGAAGCTCCCCACAAACGCCGCAACAAGCGCCCTTAGCTCGGCTCTCGCAAATCTCTCTCCTGTACAGCTCCTAGGCCCATGCAAAAACGTGAGAAAACTGTAGTTGCTGTCCGCCCCACCGTTCATCGTCGCGCGCCCCGTCTTGCTGTCGATCCAACGCTCGGGTACGCATTTTTCAGAGTCCGGGCCCCACAGCTGCGGATTGCGGTTTATCGCCCATGGAGCGATCCATACCATGGTACCGCTGGGTATGATTTGGCCACAGACTACCGTGTCTCTGATGGCGACGCGCGCCGTGATGGGAACTGGGGGGAAGAGGCGCAGGACTTCGTTAAGGACGCAGTTGAGGTAGGGCATATTCTCCAAAAGGCTGGCGGAATTGAAGCTGGAGTCTGAGAGGACTCCTAGATCAGGGATACATTGCTGGATCTCGGAGCGAAGACGCGTTTGAACGGCTGGGTGCTGAGCCAATAGGTGAGACGTCCATATCAAGGCAGAAGACGTACTTTCATGACTATACCGGTCAGCTTTGTGCACGAGTGGACTTGAAGGTAGGGGTACTAACCCTGCGGCTAACAAGGTGAGGAGTTGATCAACCAGGTTCTTATCCGACAGTTGGCTGTCGCGTATCATGATCGACAAATGTCACGGCTCTCGGCATCCTTATGCTGCATCTTTGCCCTCCGCTCCGCTACAAACTCGGAACAAATCCTGCGCAAATTCCTCGTCGTAACCCTGGCCCGCTCATGCAGCTTCCAGGGTAGGATGCTGACCAGCCAAGGCGGTAGGACAATGTTAGCCACATAGTACCACATCTTCTCCGCGGAGGGCTCCAGAATCTCCTCGTAGTTCTTGATCAACTCGTCATCGGCGTTCAACAGAGACCCGGTATCCCGACCCATACCAGCGAGACAGATGAGGTCCAACGTCACCCGCGATGTATACTGACAGATATCCAATACGCCATCTGGTCGCCCAAAAAGCTCCTGCCTAATCGCGCCGCAGAACTCCATCGACTTTGCGCAAAACACAGGATACAATTCTTTAACGTTCCTGAAGTGGAACGCAGGCGCTAACCTCTTCCGCTGTAGCCTGTGCTCTTCTCCTTCACTTAGCAACAAGCCCTCTCCCAGGAACCTCATCAGGAACCTTCTTGCTCGAGACGGTTTCTCGAAATCATAGCTCTTGTGCACCACTACATCTGCCAGTGCTGCCGGCGTAGTCAGGATAAGTCTTGTAGTATGAAGAAACCCTCGTCGGAGGATGATGCCGTCGTTGGGCACTGTCTTCATGGTTTGCAGATGCCAGTCCCCGCCTGCCTGACGCTTCTTCAATAGCAATCGGCCGTGGCCGAAGAGCGGGATGAAGCCTTTGGGTTGCGGCAGATTGCGCAGTGGGCTAAGGAAGAAAGGATAGAGGATCATATTGTGGAAGATGAGGACTGTGTTGTTGAGAATGGTAAAAGCTAGCCAGTACGTCGTGAGAGAGGTGTCCGGGAGACATTCTGCAAGCACATAGCGTGCGATGACCGCTTCAAGAGCCGGTAAGAGAATACAGTTCGCTCCATTGAAACTCATGGTTGCGATGCAAGTGCAAGAGAAAGGAAGGCAAAAAAGAAGACAAACCAGGAAAGACTTCGACAATATTAGGTATATGATATATTTGCTCCTTTTTGGCGATTGCTTTGTCTTCCACACCTGCAGTCATGTGGCGCATGAGATATCTCGAGCCACACACAACATTGTCCCCGATTGGTTCGTCTTCTACAGCCGCGGTCTATCACGCAGGTTCCTTAACCGCGTAGCAACATCTCTGTTATATAATTAAACATTGAATATATCCAAGCGAAGGCGTAGCTATCGACTTCGTATTGACAAGCCTGGGCGCCGGGCGTAATAGGCAGAACTTCGAAGCATCCGGGCTTACTGTTCTTGCAGGTGCATCACTCAGCTCAGCCATCAGATCAAAACATACCCACTACTGGAACGCGATTTGAGGAGTCTGAAAAGATAGCAAGATCCCTCTTATCATGAATCTCACCACTACACCACACTCTCCCCTCCCCTCAGATCACCACCCCTCTCCATCAACACAGCCTTCTCCTCCTCACCCACCGACTTCTCCGCCAACCCTTCCTTCCCACCTTCAGGATCCAACCCAGCACACCTAAGCACGAACCCACCAATCCACTGCTCCGTCTCGAGCGAATTCCGCGTCAACGCATGGTCATCTCCCTCGAAAAGTTTTAATTCCCTTTCGCCCCCATCCCCATACATATCGTACAGTCTGTCCGAGCACCGCGGACTCAGCGTTCGATCCCCCGTTCCATGAAGAAGCAATACCGGCCGCGGCGCAAGAAATCGTATCCCCTCCGTTTCTGCAGTCTGACTAGCAACCGTTGCGCACCCCACGACTCTCTTGTCTTGCCCACCAATAGTAAAGACGGGTGCGCCACCGAATGAACAGCCTACTAACATGAACTTGTCGATTTGATACAAGTCCTGTAGTTCTTTCATAGCGGCTAGCACAGCTCTAACGCAGTACTTGTTGCGCGCGGGATATCTGTAGTCCAGTCGTAACGCAGGTACGGGCTGCTTCAACGAAGCCAGCTTATCGGCTAGAGAAAGGTATATAGATGATGGACCCACGAAACCGCCACCTGCGCCTGAGAGCAGGATTGCTGCTGTTCTGGTAGACGGCGTGGCTGATGTTGTAGGCGGTAAATGGAGGAAGCCTGGTACGGAGCCGTCGTGTCCGTCTTCAACTGCTATGGAGAGGGGCACATTTCATATTACGCTTTCGGTGGACACTGGTAGAGGGGAATTACCAGATTTCGGCTGCTTTATATACCCAATTCTTCTTCTCGGATCTATACTTCTTAATGGAGAGGGGCTTTACGATGCAGGATTTCTGGGCGAGTGGTGGGTGGGAGAGGCCTAGGTAGTCGTCGAGACGGGCTGGCCGTGGGGATGTAGGTGTACGTGAAGTGGCGGATAGTGAGGTAACGGGAGGGAACATTGTGCGTGTTGAAGTGTCGATGTGGGCGAGGAAGCGTTTCATGAGGAATAAACTAGGGGATATTGGTATTATGAATGGAGTACCTTGCTACATCGCTGCAATGTAGTGTTCGCCATTTGCCATCTCTTGCCTCATGCTTAGTTAGATATGATGTCACATCAGAACTACACCAATCAAGTGATGCTGGGTTGCGAGACTGTAGACATCAACGGCTTCTTCGATCGTTCTGCTCCGAGGACGATTTGCCTGAAAGCTGCGTTGCTCCAACGAGGAAGGGGAGCATTGTAAGGGTACGGACTAGGCCCAAGTGCGCTAGCTGATTGGGCCCTCGCTCTGTTCCTGTGACCGAGAGGAAGCACATCATCACGATGCATGCGAGGACAGCAGAACTAACGCGCACGGAAGGCTCTTGGAAAGAGAGGAAATCTTACTAAGGACTACGATTATCTCCTATGCTGTAGTACTAGCGGAGCATTGCTCGTCGACCAATTGGCCAACCTCCATCAAACGCCATGTCATGCTGAGCTTTGAGCTCTCTTATCCTAAACGCCGCTTACTTGCTGGATATATAATCCATTGAACGCCGACCTGGCCATATGAATCATGAAAACTGACCCGGGCGCCGAAGTCCTGACGGGTTGCGCCCCTGTACCCACGTTGGTGTTTCAACACCTTCATTCCATCATCACCTTTCCGTGGTCTCTAAGACCAGGGCTTCGGTTCCCGACTCCAAATCATCTACACGACCCGTTCCGATTTCCTCACTACCTGCTCTACTTCTTGATGGATGCTGTGCAAGAACGGGCGAATCTGCACTGTCTGAGAAGTTGCCAACGCTACTTTCGCGTACCCGTTGTGCAACGCTAGCTGCGATCTTCTCATCCAGCATGGTCACCAACCGTTCGGAATACTGATCCAGTAATTTGACCATGACCGTCTCCTCAAAGGCCTTGGATTTTATCCTTTCACCAATTGCCCTCGCGGTAGCCGCAAGCTCTCTTTCAACCTCTTTTGCTATCTCTGGGCTAATAGTGTCGCTAGTGTTTGCAAGACGTTTCCTGTAGGCTCGCAGTGTCCTGCATAAACTCTCGGTTGACGCTCCGATCTTGCTAGAGTCGCTGACAGGTGCTTTCGCGCGACTTCTGGCGTCCATGGAGGCGCGACGTTTGCCGAGTTGTGGGTTTTTAGGGCTAGGTGGCGATGGGGAGCGGTTCTTGTTCTTGCGTATTGTACCCCCGCCATTCCATGCTGTTATTCGGCCTTCGCGTGAACTTGTAGGCATAGGAGATGGATCAAGTTTCGGCGTTGGAGCCAAGGAGAATTTTGATACTTTTTTACGCAGCTTTGGAGACTTGCTCCCAGTGTTCGGAGGAGTCTCTTCCACGGGTGAGCGTTGAAAACGTGCTAATTCGGATTGTGAGAATACGCGTCGTAGAGGTGGCTTGTTGGATAGCAGATCCTGGTTGGAAGGCGTATTTGGGGCGAGCAAATCCATCGACTTTGATATGTCTTGACGATTGGGAGCTTGTAAAGCCAAAGCCCATGCAAATATAGTCCCGTCTACTGCTACTGTGACCAGTGACTTCTCGCCCAACTCTTCACTCACTTGCCCAGGTGTTTCCACAAGCGCGATATCAGAGACACCTTCAGTATGGCCCCAGTCACGAGCAACCAAAGAGCCGCTTTCATCGTAAACGCGTATCGACTTATCGGTGCTCGACACACCAGCTATTAGTGGAGCGCCCCAATTACGTGGTATGTGAACGAGGGAAGATAAAACAACGGCATCCCCACCATCAGTGTCGCATGCACGGAAGTTGCTGAGACTTTGACCTGTCCGAATGTCGAATTTGTGGACTTGACGGTCGATGGTTGACACAAGCAAGACATCATCCTGATCAACGTCCCAAGCTGACGACACTGGGGTTGCCTTCAACATGATAGCGCGTGACATGACAAAAGCGCGGGTCGTTCCACGAGCCTCCTCGAGAGACAACAGTTCGCGGACGACGAGGCTTCGATCGCTGGAAGACGAGACTAGACGAGTGCCATTTCGTGAGAAGGAAACCCCGTTTACTGCTCCCACATGCTCATCCAAGGTTTGCAGTAGATCCCAGGTCTGCTCTAATCGGGTGAACACTTGAACGGTGCGATCTCGACTGGCGGATGCGACAAAAGTGATATTCGGCTCTTCGTGTATGGCGATGCTAGTGATTTCACTGGCGTGAGCCTTGAACTCTAATGTGCAGGTTTTGGTGTTGCAATTGATGAACCGCAGAACGCCATACTTGTCTCCAGCGACGAGGAAAGCGCCATCGGCAGAGACGCGAACTGTCCGTAGTTCGTTCGGAACGGCCTCGGGATCCTCCAGCTGCTCAAGCTGTACTTGAAGCGAACCTTTACAGAATCCTTGACTCCAGAAGATGACAGTCCCATCAGCTGCCCATGTGTAGTATGAAGCCTCGAAAACGTTCGGTTGTGTGAGACCAGCGTGTACTCCTAACACAGCATGCCCGTGCGCAGGCAATGTGTGGACGACGTTGCCGACGACGCCTTCGTCGTCTTCGGAGCAAAGTTGCGACAGTCGAATTGCTCGGTGGGCATCGACAGTAATAAGGTAGTCTTTGAGACAAGCAATTACACCGATTTGGCTGCTGTCCGTGACCGAGATGGATGGAGACTCTATGCGCGGTGGAGGCGAGGGCGGCGGAGTCAGTCTTCCAATCATCTCTTTTATGTTGAAGGTTTTGAGCGCGCCTTGGCTACCGGCGATGTGTAGTCGTCCCTTGACGTCGACTGCTAGAGAACTGACAGGAAAGCCGGCATCAACCAGTCTCGAGAAGCGGTGGTCGGATTCGGTATCGTCGATGAGACATATGTCTCCCTTGTCAGAAGCCACGATGGCCTTGTTCCGGGCTATAGCGACGACGCTTGTGAATGTAGACTCCTTCAAATTCTCTAGGATGCAGTTTCTCCCTGGTAATGTCTTGTGGGTCGAACCTGAGAGAAACGAAACATCGCTCTGGCGCGCCTTGCTAATGCGCATTGTGGCGTTGAGGTCATCGATCTTCCAGACCTTGACATGGCGAACACCGACAGTGACGAGCTTGTTTCCCATCCATGCCATTCGATTGATGTGGCTGACGCACTTGTTGCTAGCATGTAGCGTGGCAGCTCCGGTGCGGGAGTTGATGTGCCAGATGTATAAGAAGCCATCGTTAGCTGAGCCTAAGCTAGCAAGGAAGCGCGAGTCGGGGCTGAAGGCTACGCAGTTGACGCCGAAGGTGTGATCCGAGAGGGACGTGAGGGGCGTGTCCGAGGGGGCGTCTGAAGAGGCAGAGAAGATGAGTACACGCGGTTTGTAGCCCGTCTGGAATAAGTTAGGATGATGCAGCATGAAGTCGACACATGTCTCACCTCTCCGACGGCGAAGAATTTCCCGTCAGGACTGAAACTGACACAGGTTGCCGCCTTGATCTTCTCTTTCATGTTCCAAGCTCTGTTGCTCGGTGAGTCTGCCCAGTCGGGCGCACTGGGGGACGGCAGTGGTGAGCCCCCG